GAGTAGAATAGTGTTTAGTTTAAGGACAAATTACTCCTATATATGGAGGCAAGACCCTTGTGGGTATTCTTCTCAATGCCTCATGAATCACTAGGTTTTCTTGTCTGGCTGGTGGTATCAGGCACTATTCCAGTCTCTCTGTGAGAACTGAGGACTGTCATGTCTAATTTTAGGGGTTGGTTCTTTCTTTAGCCATGAATTGCTTCTTCATTGGTTTGAGTGCTTTAGATGGACCCTTTGCAGATCTCCAGGGTGCTCTTTCTCTCTCTCTCTGAAGATGTTAGCTGTGTAGTATGCTCTCCTGTAAACTCCAGCTGCTTTGGTCTCCTTGGATTCTCTGTATGTCTCCTCAACCCAGGGAATCCACTAGGCTCCAGCTACACTTCCCTTCTTTGAAATGGCCTGCAAACTCTCACACAGTAGTAATCTGGAGGCAATCTCAGGGTCAGTGCATTTATTTCCTGTCTCTTAGGGATAACTCTTCTTTGTTGCCTAATGTTTAGAATCTTGAAAATTGTTATTTCATTTTTTTATGTTTGGTTATTTCATTCTGGAGGGTGCATGTGACCCTGTTACTACACTTTGGCCAACAGAAATGTCTTATGTTCCTTTAAAATCAACTAATTAATATAGCAGGGACCCATGCAGAGTTCTGAAAAGTAAAGAGAGAGGGAGTAGCGGACTTCAGAAAGTTCAGGAACCATTCATAGACTTTCATTCAATACTTATTTATTAGGCACTTAACATGGGCCAGGTATTGAGAAAAGATGATAGCAAAAATGAAAGTGATATTGGTGGGAATATGTAGACCTCTGCAGGTGAGGGGGCTCCTGCAGGCAAGGGAGGCGCCTGTTGTATGGGTGTCCATTGCAACATAAGACCCTGGGGTCCTTGACCCCACTCTTGACAGGGGTTCAAACCTGGCCTGGGTTGCTTGGAGCATGTGGGTGGGGGCCAAGTAGAGTCTCCAAGTGCAGCAGGGCAAAGACGGTGCACATATTGCCCTGTGCATCTCTCAACCCCCTTAGAGTAGGAACCATAAAGGTGTCTATGTTAGAGAGAGCCAGCTACTCTGGTGGGTGGAGGAGGAGCAGACATATACAATGCTGCTATGGCCTGACTGGACAGCTTGACCTTGAGCACAGGTACCAGGCTCCCATATAATCAACTGTGATGTCATAAAATTTCCTGAGATGTCGTAATCAATTGAAAAACTCATAAAAGCCATTGGGACATCGTAAATGTACCACTGTGACATTATATTAATTGTGATGCTATTTACATACCATTGTGATATCATAAGCCACCTTTGTATGTTATAATCAATTGTGGTGTCATGAAACCATGGAGATATCATAATTAATTATAATGTAATAGAAATCATTGTGATGTTATAAACAATTGTGATGTCATATTCCTGCCATTGTGATGCCATGAAAACCCTTGAGATGTTGTAATCGATTTCCATGTGATAAACCATCCACCATTGTGGTAACATAAACCTAACATTGTGATGTCATACTCAAATTCATTTGATGTCACAAAGACATTGCAATGTCATAAACCCAAAATTGTGATGCAATAATCAATTGTGATGTAATGAAACACCACTATGAATTTATAATCTATTGTGATACCATAAAATTTATGATTTCATGATAAAAGAAAGTGGTATTGGTGGAGATGTTGAGAAATAAGTGGACATGAGTATGTTTTGATCTGTAGGGTGTGTAGAATATGAAAGAAAGGGAGGAGGCAAAGATGACAAAAATGATTTTGACCTAGTAATTGGGAAAACTTTGCTGCCTTTGCTAAGACACAGATGAGTATGGGAGGATATGGTTTGGAGAAGATGAAGTGCTCTATTTTGGACACTTTGAGCTTGAGATGTATACTCAAAACCCAAGTGGTTATGTCAGGGCTGCAAATGGGTTCAGAAGAGCAGCTGGGCTAGTAGCATACATTTGCAAGTCATCAGCATCCAGAAGTATTTAATGCCATGACACTGGGGGAGGAAATGATGAAGAGAGAAAACATAGGCTCCATCCAAGAATTGAGTTTGGGACACTTCTATCTTTACAGTTGGGGAAGAGGAGGGTTAATGAGTTAGGAGGATGGTGTGGAGAGCAGAATTCATTCTTTCAAGAAGGAAAAAGTGGATAAACTGTTCCAGAGGCTGCTGTGAAATAGAATGGAATGCAAACATAGAAGTGACACTGAGGAAGAATTGTGTTCTTGGCTGTCTGTTTCTTAGGGGAAGCAACACTGAAGTCAGGGACTGCCAGACCCACTTCTGTAACCCAGCACAAGACCTGGCCTATAATAGGTGCCTGGGGCATGTGCACAGAATAGATGAGTGAGTAGAAGAGAACTGAGCAGCAGCCAACCTTGAATGAACTATAAAATAAAACTTCTAATCTTGGCTGCTTGACTAAATTTCCCCTTCGCTCACTGGTTTTGATGTCTATATCCATATTCTAAGAGAATCATCCCCCATATGCTTTTTAAAAAGATTTTATTTATTTATTTGAGAGGCAGAGTTGCAGATAGAGAGAGGGAGAGACAGAGAAAGGTCTTCTCTCTACTGGTTCACTCCCCAAATGGCTGCAGTGGCTGGAACTGGGCTGATCTGAAGCCAGGAGCCGGGAGCTTCCTCTGACTCTCCCATGTGGGTACAGGGGTCCAACACTTGGGCCATCTTCTGCTGCTTTCCTAGGCCATACCAAAGAGGTGGATCAGAAGAGGAGCATCTGGTATATCCCCAGAACTCTAATGTCATCCCTCTTCTCTCTTCTCAAGCAATGGGCAATAGGTTCATCCCTTAGATAACTTTAACACCTATGTCCATTTGCCCGTCTCCAGTTCAGACTCCCCAGTGAGTGCTGTCTCTCTAGGTGAAGGTTTGAGATGGATTCAGGGCCCTAATGATAGAGAAAAATGGATGGGCAAGTCCTTGACACTGTTCAGAACACATGCTACTTGGATGTGATGAGGGAAACAAGGGGCTACAGTTGACACCAGATTTTCTAGATTGAATGATTGGGAGAAGGGAAGGTCCCTCTGTGAGGTGGGTAGATTGGAAGAGAGGCTGATTTGTAGGTAAAGGGGTCAAGGTTAATTTTAGCTACACTGAGTTTGAAGGTGTGAGGTGCCTCAAAGGATATGTCTAACAGGCAGTTGGAAATAGCAGTGGAGAGCTTGGGAAAGATGTCTGGGCTGGAATGTGATATCGGACTTAATGGTAACTGAAGCCTTGGGACTTGGTAAAGTTTCTTGGAAACAGCATGCACAGGAGATCCAGTACCCTAACTGTTGGTTAGGCAAGGCAAGACAAGGCAAGGCAGGGCATGGATGCTTGCCCTTGTTCCCAGCAAGTAGCTTGAGAGGTAGTCTGATGAGGGAGACTGTGTGGCTCAGTGCGTGGAGTGGCTACTCCTGGCAGAGAAGGATCAGAGATTGCAGGGGAGGAATTCCAGTTGGTGCCATAAGCTACGAGAGGGCATAAATGTGTGAAGTGTCCCAGAGCTGGCCTAGTCCTGTGTTACAGCCCCTCTTGGTCTGTAAGCTTTAGCTTTGTACCACCTTTTCCAGGTCAGTCCTAAAGCTAATTGGTACAAGAAACCTGGGCTTTGTTTTCATTGTCTGAAACTTTCTGTCTCCATGGTCTACTGCCTCCAGGGTCCAAGCAGGGACTCAGAGATGCTGGTTCTTTTCCCTTAGGTGTCCTCATTAGCATCCTGGTGTCATAATCCCACAGAGAGTGCCAGATGAGCATCTCTGAGACTGTTTGACGTGTCTGCCATCACCATGGTGACAGCTTCAGAAGCTGGAACAAATTGTAGAGGAGGGGCACTGCAGGCACAACGTCTATCAGCAGGAACCATGGGAAATTGGGGGTGGGGTCTGCAGACCAACACCAGTAGATAATTGCTTCTCTGAGGATAGCCTGTCCAAGCCTCCCTGACTCTGTTGCAAGAGATACTCTGGGGCACAACCCCCTGTTTCTTTTCGAGACAATTGGCTCCCAGGTTGTTCCTTCTTGATCTATATTGTGGGACACCTCCTCCTCTGCTCAATCCTTTGATGTTGTGGTTCTCCAGGACTCTGTCTTGGGCCCTCCCTCTGTCTCCTTTTCCTGTACAATCCCATCCATATGCTCTTCTTCACTCCCTGCACCTAATCCATATCCAAGTTCTGTCTTTTCTCCTGCCATCTTGTCTTAGGTTCCATCAGCACCCTTGTCTCTAGTCTCTTCCCTGCTACATACCCCCACCGTTGCTCAAATCCAGGCTTCACAGAGCAGCCAGACATATCCTTCAGAATGCTTATTTGATCACTCTTATACTGAGCCTTTTGAGATTCTCCACAACCCAGAAGAGTGAGTCCTCACAACCAAACTATCCAAGCTAAACCAAACCAACCTCCCAACCAACAATCAACCAACCAGCTAACCACTTAACCCATTGCCCTTGCTTTGCAAATGTGTAGCACATATTTATCCTGTGGAGACCTCCAAACCAGCCATGACCCCTAACCCCTATTACATGAGAGGTCATGTGTCTCTTTGGCCCAAAGAAGCTGCTCCCTACCCCTTTGCTCTTGTTTCTCTTTACCTAAGTCTGCTTCAAAGTTCATGCTCCTCAGGAAAGAGGTCAGACAGCAAAGCAAGGACACTGAAAAAAATGAGTTAAGCAGATATTTGATTTGTTTGATTTTAGCTTGGATAATTAATTTGTCAAAAAAATTCAGTGGGTAAAAGAACAAAATCACATTTTGTAGCTTAGCACTCTTTTCATTTTAAATTATATATCAGGGTGGGGGAGTACTAACATTTTCTTGGTGCTAGGATTCCTGGCAATGCCAAATCTTATTGCCCTGCAATGCCATACAGACCCTGGATGTGCTGAGATTTGCCAGATAGGCCTTGGTTCTATACTTACCCTGACCTCTATGGGTGCCAGGGGCCTCTGTGACATTCCTCTTGGCTCTCTGACTGGCAGGTGAAAGTACTGGTCATACATGGAGGATGACTGAAAAATCCAATGGTGTGAAGAGTTCCCCAGCTAATAATCACAACAATCATGTACCCGCTACCATCAAAGCCAACGGCAAAGATGAAAGCAGGACCAGAAGCAGGTGAGTTCACTGAGGCTGGGTGGTTCTAGGAATGGCCCAGAGGGTGCTACTTCCTTCCAGCTCCTCAATGTCTGGCTCCAGACATCCTGAACAGGGAACATGGGATATCTAGCATGTGCCTAGAAGGAAGACAGGGCATGACCAGAGAACCCTGGGTCAACTCTTTCTCTGTAGGCCACAGTCTGCAGCTGATGATGACACCTCCTCAGAACTACAGAGGCTGGCAGAGATGGATGCCCCACAGCAGCGAAGGGGTGGCTTCCGCAGGTGAGTCCCCCCCACTACCATTATGCTCACCCCTTCAGCACATGGACGCTGCCGGGGTAGTTAGCATGGTCCACCTCCTCTTGTCCACAGTAGGTGTTTCCATAAGGTCTCTACAGAGCATTGTCAGTACTGTCCTCATTCAACTCTTGCCTCTGGAGGCCTAAGCAACTCCCACAGCTCTTGTAGGGCAAGCTCAGAATAGCCAGGGGAGGCTTTCCTTCACATTTGTCTATCTTAGCATTAGAGGAGACAAGGTGGTGTCCTTCCTAGAGGAGAGGCCTAGGTAGTGAGGCCAAGGTCTCTAGCCTGGGGTGGTAGGCTCCATAGAGAAATCAGGAAGCCAGACACAACCTTTACCCTGTTCTGTTATGCCTTAACACAACCTCTGTATTGCTCCAAAGAGCTCCTATTTTCTCTTCACAATTAACTGAGATGGCACCTCCTACAGAAAGTCTTCCTAGGACAATCCCTCCTTGTTGAGCTGCTGAGGGGCCCTGCCTGAGTTCCAGGTCCTTAGTGCTCGCCTCTACCCAAGATTTTTTTTTTAAGATTTATCTATTTATTTGAAAGTCAGAGTTACACAGAGAGAGAAGGAGAGGCAGAGAGAGAGAGAGAGAGAGAGAGAGAGAGAGAGAGGTCTTCCATATGCTGGTTCACTCCCCAATTGGCTGCAACAGCTGGAGCTGTGCCGATCTGAAGCTAGGAGCCAGAAGCCTCCTCCGGGTCTCCCACGTGGGTTGCAGGGGCCCAAGGACTTGGACCATATTCTACTGCTTTCCCAGGCCATAGCAGAGAGCTGGATCAGAAGTGGAGCAGCTGGGACTTGAACCGGCACCCATATGGGATGCCGGCACTGCAGGCGGTGGCCTCACCCTCCATGCCACAGCACCAGCCCCTCTACCTCAGCTCTTAGCACTTACGATTTCATGATGCCTGTTTGCAGGTTTCCCTCTCTGATTACCATCTCCCTCACCAGACAGGGAGCTCTTGGGGCACAGCATCCCTGAACAGTGCAGATCTTCTCTGGCTCATGTTTTCTCTATCTCTGTGACGTCTAGGATCGTTCGCCTGGTGGGGGTCATCAGACAGTGGGCGAACAGGAACTTCCGAGAGGAGGAGGCCAGGCCTGATTCGTTCCTTGAGCGATTCCGTGGACCAGAGCTCCAGATCTTCTCTGGCTCATGTTTTCTCTATCTCTGTGACGTCTAGGATCGTTCGCCTGGTGGGGGTCATCAGACAGTGGGCGAACAGGAACTTCCGAGAGGAGGAGGCCAGGCCTGATTCGTTCCTTGAGCGATTCCGTGGACCAGAGCTCCAGACTGTGACGACACAGCAGGGAGATGGCAAAGGCGACAAGGACGGCGACGGCAAGGGCACCAAGTACCACTGTCTAGCCTGTGGGGCTCAAAGGGCTACCCAGCATGCAATGGGAAAACCCAGTTGAATTTCTTCTTTTAATTTTATTTATTTTCATTTTGTTTTAATGGCAAACACACACACACACAAACATAGAAAGAGAGAGAGGGGCAGACAGACAGGTAGATTTTCCATTTGTTGGTTCACTCTCCAAACACTCAAAACAGCCAGTAGTGGACCATGCTGACACCAGGAGCCTAGAATTCCATCCTGGTTTTCCAGGTGGGTGGCAGGGATTCAACCACCTGAGCTGTCATCTGCTGTCTCCAAGGGTATCCATTAATAGTAAAATGGATGGAGAGCACAGGGAGGACTCTAACCCAGGCACTCCGATGTGAGATGAGGGCATCCTAAACAGCAACTTAACCACTGCACCACAAACTTGCCCCTCAGGGGGTTTTAATGCTACTGTGGCGGCAGACCTGTGTCTACATCCAGCCCTATGAATAGTAAAGAAAGGGCCAGGCAGGGTGATTTGCTTTGCTTTTAACTCTGGCACATTTCCCTTCTCACCGCCCACAGTGCCTCCAAAGGCCAGGAACCTCTGGTGGCTTTCTCCTTTTACCTGCCCCTTTGCCAGATGTCCTTTGGTTTCTCATGAAGGGACTGTGGGTAGGGAGGGGGCTCATGCATGAGCCAGTAACTGCTGAGGGAGGTGTAGGCAGGGAGTGCTGTTGAGAGCATACACATCCAAACTCCAGTGTGGGTGAGGAAGTGGAGCTTTGAAGAAGTTGTGGAGGGGGCTGGAAGGGAAAGCCAGGATGCTTGACTACGAAAGAATGACAGGTCAGAGAAGGCAGAGCTGGAGGATTTGTTCTTTGAAGAATGAGTATGTGCCTGTAGCTGTCTGGCCAAGCTGACATTCCCCACTGGCCAGCAGAGGAAAAGGGCTCTGGCCAAGACAGCACACAGCATCTGGGAAAGTGATTTGGAGGCTGGAAGCCAGGGACCAAAAAGGGGGTGGGGGGGAGGGAACATGTGGCACTTACTTTCCTGGTGTTCTTCTTTCTTCCCAGGAGCGATGTGGGCAGAGGCCCAAGCCCTCATTATCATTCCTGAAAGCCTGAGCAAAGAGACTCCAGAGGGTGTGAGAGCCAGTGGGCTGATACGGGTCAGAATGGGGAAAGAAGTGTCCTACACCCATCTGCACTCCATACAGATGCTCAGTACCAGATGGTGGGACCAATCTGTGAAATCTATGAAAAATGGGACCCTAAGTCAATCTATTCCTTGCCCCACACATCCCAACAGGCAGTGTTTTTCTGAGACCCTGGCCTCTAGGACCTGAAGTTATGTCACACTAAGGGACCTAGTCCCCAAATCTGACCTCTGTCTATCTCCTCAGGAAAAAATTTGAACTATTTGTCTTGGACCCAGCTGGGGACTGGTACTACCGCTGGCTGTTCGTCATTGCCATGCCTGTGCTATACAACTGGTGTCTGCTGGTGGCCAGGTGAGCAGGGAGGCTCTTTGTGGGGGAGGTTGCCAGAGAAGCTTTGTCCACAGGCCATGGGACTGAGAACACACAGGGCCCAGTTTTGGACACAGAATTCACCACAACACAGCTTTCCTTTCAGACTCTCTGGGCACCGATTGTACCTCCATCTGCCCTATTAGTCCCCCCATCCCCCTACCATTTCATATGTTCCCAAGACATCATATCTGTCTTTTTCCTGGTGTCTTTAATCCTCTCTCACTTTTATATCCACAATAATCCTGTCCTAGAGGAGGCTACCCTTGTCTCTCCCTTCAATGGCTCCCTATAGCATACAGGATGAATTTCAAGTCCTAAGCACGACCTTCAAGGTCCTTTGACCCTGGCCTTCCCTCTTGCTCCATCTTCTGAATGCACCCCAATCTCATGACTTTTAGATAAGAACATGCTGCTTCCTCAAGGGAAAATTCCCTGTCCCACTCTTAAACCTATGGAGATTCTTACAGATTCAGTTCCAAAGCCACTCTTTAATGGAGCTTTCTCTCACAGCCTTCATTATTGAACTCTACCCCCACCTCAGTCATTCATTCAACAAGGATTTGTCTGAGCACCTACTGGGTGCAGGGCTCTGTGCTCCAGGTGAGGTCTAAGTGGTGAGTAACACAGGCATGGTGTCTGCTCTCCTGGCTATGGCAATGTGGCTAGGGCTAGGGCTAGGGCTATGTGGTAAGTAACACAGGCATGGTGTCTGCTCCTTGAGGTCTTAGGCTACTGGAGGACATCAACTGTAAATAGGTAACAACAACAAAAAACAACAAAAACGATTCCAGTCCCTGGTGGCAGATAGCTGCTAGAGAAAGGACAATCAAGGCACATACCTCAGATGAGGCAAGACCTTAGCTGAGTGCCAGATTGTGAGAGTCAGTTATTCAGGTTCTTGATGTTGGTGGATGGAGCACACAAGGCAAAAGGAATAAGTGTAAAGCCTCTGTCCTGGGATGGCCCAGAGTGGCTTCAGATGTGTGTGAGCCATCAAAGTAGCAGGCATAGCTGGTTCTTCAGGCTTTGTGGGGCAGCAGAGGACCTGGAATTTTGTTCTAAACGTGGCCACTCCTCTCTTTGACTAGTATACTTATTAAATCATCATCCTGGCATCCACCCCCTACACCCTCTTCCCTCTAGGTCCCAACCCACTGGGTCACCAGGTCCTGACAATTCCCCCTAGAAATTCCTACAGCTTCCAGGCTTTCTTCACTCCCATTACCTGTAACCTAACTCTGAGGACCATCATGTGTCTCACTTGGACTGGCCCATACTGTGTGATGGGTGCTCAATAGGAATACGTTGAAGAGATGACCATGGAGGCCATTCACTTGTGCACTGTAGTTTGTTCTTCCAGTAGCTGTTCACTCAACTCATACCCAATGAGCACTGAACATTCATGCCTTGGGCTTGACATAAGGCATGCAGTAACTACTAAGAGGTGGATCAGCCTTCCTGGCACTCACAGGCCAGTAGGTGAGACAGGAGAATAATGGTCATTGGTGATGTCTATGTAGTGATGTCTATGTATGGTTACCAGTTGAGGTAGAAGTTACTTGTCAACGTTTGTGGCACTAGGCTGATTGTGACTCACCAGTGCCATCAGTGGCCATCCCAAGCCTTACACACAGTGGACACTGCTCCCCGGGAAACCTTGGCTGGCTTTGAGGGTGAAACCCAGCCCTGTCCTCCTGCAGAGCCTGTTTCAGTGACTTGCAGAGAGGCTACTTCCTGGTGTGGCTGGTGCTGGACTACTTCTCAGATGTGGTCTACATTGCGGATCTTTTCATCCGATTGCGCACAGGTGAGTGAGCAACTGGGATGTGCAGGCAGTAGCATGAGTTATAAGCCCAAAGACCTGAATCTAAACTGGGACACTGATGGATGACTGTGATTTTTGAACTTTGTATTCCCACCTGCTTAGAGAGGTTCGGATCTGGGGGTGATTTCTTAGGGTCCTTCTGGTAAGCCCTGATATATGAGCTACGTTCCCTTCTGGGAGGGAGGGTTGAAAGGGCACTTTGTTTATTTCTGAGTGTTAGCTTATAGGTAAAGACAGACCTGAAGGCAGAGGTGACATGCTGGCTTATGTTTCTACTAGGTTTCTTGGAGCAGGGGCTGCTAGTGAAAGATCCCAAGAAATTGCGAGACAACTACATCCACACCCTACAGTTCAAGCTAGATGTGGCTTCCATCATTCCCACAGACCTGATCTATTTTGCTGTGGGAATCCACAACCCCGAGCTGCGCTTCAATCGTCTGCTACATTTTGCCCGCATGTTTGAGTTCTTTGATCGCACTGAAACACGTACCAGTTACCCCAACATCTTCCGCATCAGCAACCTAGTCCTCTACATTTTGGTCATCATCCACTGGAATGCCTGTATCTACTATGCAATCTCCAAGTCCATTGGCTTTGGGGTTGATACCTGGGTTTACCCCAATATCACTGACCCTGAATATGGATACCTAGCTAGGGAGTATATCTATTGTCTTTACTGGTCCACACTGACCCTCACCACCATTGGGGAGACACCACCCCCTGTAAAAGATGAGGAGTACCTATTTGTTATCTTTGACTTCCTGATTGGTGTCCTCATCTTTGCCACCATCGTGGGAAATGTGGGCTCTATGATTTCCAATATGAATGCCACCAGGGCAGAATTCCAGGCCAAAATTGATGCTGTCAAGCACTACATGCAGTTCCGCAAAGTCAGCAAGGAAATGGAAGCCAAGGTCATTAAGTGGTTTGACTACCTGTGGACCAATAAGAAGACTGTAGATGAGCGGGAAGTCCTCAAGAACCTACCAGCCAAGCTCAGGGCTGAGATAGCTATAAATGTTCACCTGTCCACACTCAAGAAAGTACGCATCTTCCAGGACTGTGAGGCTGGCCTGCTGGTGGAGCTGGTGCTGAAGCTCCGTCCTCAGGTCTTCAGCCCGGGGGATTACATTTGCCGCAAGGGGGACATTGGCAAGGAGATGTACATAATCAAGGAAGGCAAGTTGGCAGTGGTGGCTGATGATGGTGTGACTCAGTATGCCCTGCTCTCGGCTGGGAGTTGCTTTGGCGAGATTAGCATCCTTAACATTAAAGGCAGCAAAATGGGCAATCGACGCACAGCCAATATTCGGAGTCTGGGCTACTCAGATCTCTTCTGCTTGTCCAAGGATGACCTCATGGAAGCTGTGACTGAGTATCCTGACGCCAAGAAGGTCTTGGAGGAGAGGGGTAGGGAGATCTTAATGAAGGAGGGGCTGCTGGATGAGAATGAGGTGGCAGCCAGCATGGAGGTAGATGTGCAAGAGAAGCTAAAGCAGCTGGAGACCAACATGGAGACCTTGTACACTCGCTTTGGACGCCTGCTGGCAGAGTACACGGGGGCCCAGCAGAAACTCAAGCAGCGCATCACGGTTCTGGAGGTCAAGATGAAACAGAACACTGAGGATGATTATTTGTCAGATGGAATGAACAGTCCTGAGCCAGCTGCTGCTGAGCAGCCATAAAGGCTTCTCCAGCCTTGGCCTTGACCCTAAGAGCTAGAAGAGCCATATAGATCTCAAGATTTGTATGCGTTGCTATCATGCCCACTTGAATTCTCCCAGAAGCCTCTCTAATCCTGGGTTTTTGATCTAAACATCCTGAAAATCTCTCCAGATTTAGCTGATAGCCAAGCTTGTGGACAGACATGTTGGCTGGGCTTCCAGGAGCTTCAGCATGACCCATTTGAAGAAGGAAGAGGGGAGAGCTAAACTGGCCTCTAGGGGTCTATCCTGGATCTGGAAGGCTGGATACTGATCTTCTCTGAAGGACTCTATCTGCAGAACAGTGTGCACCCTGCTGCAAGACTTCCCTGTCTCTGGCTGCTTTGCATCTAGCCACTCCCCACTTGGTTCTGGTCCATACTTTTTTAAACATGTGTTTTGAACACCCCCATTTATCCTGAACATACATGTAGTTTAAACATTGGCTTCAGGTTTTGAACTCTGGTACCCAGGCAGGTAAAATGGTATGACGGTGGTGGAGGAGAGGGTAGAAGGGTGTTTCCTCAAGTCTGTCTGTTTCTGTTAGACAGTGTAGCCCCTGCCCTGGTGATTGTCAGGCTCCTGGCTTCTGGTCCATTCCAGGACAGTGAGTGAGGAGTCAGACAACAGGCAGTTGTCCAGCAGGCAGTGCCACCTGTACAAGGTGGTCAGCAAATGTGTCTATCACCCTCTATGCAGAGTATTTCTGAGGAGGTCCTGATGGTTCGTGGTAGGTAGGAGACTCTTTTGGTTAACATCTGCACTAGAGACACAAGTTAATAAAATCCATTCAAAGTATTTGTGGTTATTGCTCAACTCTGCAATTCATATTCTCTCCCCCTCTCTGTCAACTCCTCTCTTTTCTTCACATTTATCTTCTCCTCTAAACAGGACTGTTTCTTGCTGGAATGCTCTGGCATCTTCCCCTGCCTGCCTAAACATTAATAGTTCTTTAGTACTTAGCTCAGGCCACTTGACTGCACCAGCTCCTGAATAGGCAGTCAGTTCCCTCTTCTATAGGTTTCCACAGAGCTCAAGAGCCTCTCTGTACTTGCTCTTATCATATTTTGGGCTTGGTTTTGATGATTTTCTTTTCTGTCTAGACTGTGGGTCCTTTGAGGGCAAGGCTAAGAAAGTTTCCCTCATTGCTCTGTCTGCAGCCTCAGTGGCATGTTTGACACAGAGGGGATCATTCAGAGTAGTTATTCACTAGGGGAGTAGGCAAACACATGCATGAGTGAATGAGAGGATGAATGAGTGAGAGAGCCCAACTGACCAAAATGCCCATACTTCCACCTGCCAACATCTGTGTGTTCACAACATCAGCTCTGTCTGGGTATTTGGAGAGGCCCTCCTGGAGAATCAGGTGTCTGAGCTGGGTGTTATGGGATGATCAGGAGCCTAAAGGGCAAGTGCTGATCAGCAGGGAAGATCTAGGTACAAAATCTGTTGCTTTCATGTTCAGCTATACTATTTGCTTACTTATTTTGCTAAAATACATGCATAATTTGTACAGTTAAGTAATGTTAAGTACATTCATGATGATGTGAAACCATTCTACAAAACGTTTTTGTCTTGCAAAATTGAAACTATACTGTTGAACAAATTTCCACTCCTCTTGCCCCAGCTCCTGGCATCAATCATTTTACTCTCTGTCTCTATGAATTGGACAACTCTAAGGATCTCATATGAGTGGACTCATACAGCATCCGTCCTTTATGTCTGTCTTATTTGACTGCATATACCATTTCACAAGTTTGTCCATGTTGTGGCATGTGTCAGAAGTCACTTCCCTTTTTTCCCTTTTTTTTAAACTTTTATTTAATGAATATAAATTTCCAAAGTACAGCTTATAGATTACAATGGCTTCCCCCCCCATAACGTCCCTCCCACCTGCAACCCTCCCCTTTCTCACTCGCTCTCCCCTTCCATTCACATCAAGATTTTTAAGGTTGAATAATATTACTGTATTACTACATTTTTCTTATTCATATATGTATGGATGAATGTTGTTTCCCTCATTTGGGTCTTGTGAATATTTCCTACTATCAAGATAGGTATACAAATATCTCTGAGACACTGTTTTAGTTCTTTTAGGTATAGACCCATAATTGGAATTACTGGGCAATATGGTAATTCTATTTTTAAGTTCTTCAGGTACTATCATATCTTTTTTTTTTTTAGGGAAGAGATCTATGATTTTTTTTTTTTTGACAGGTAGAGTTATAGACAGTGAGAGAGAGAGAGAGAGAGAGAGAGGTCTTCCTTCCGTTGGTTCACTCCCCAAATGGCTGCTATGGCCGGCGCTGCCCCGATCCGAAGCCAGGAGCCGGGTACTTCCTCCTGGTCTCCCATGTGGGTGCAGGGGCCCAAACACTTGGGCCATCCTCCACTGCACTTCCAGGCCACAGCAGAGAGCTGGACTGGAAGAGGAGCAACAGGGACTAGTACCCGGCAATCATATGGGATACCAGCGCCACAGGTGGAGAATTAACCAAGTGAGCCTTGGCACTGGCTGGTACTATCATATCATTTTCCACAGTGACTGTACCATTTACACTCATCAGTGCAAAAGAATTCCAATTTCTCCACACCTTCACTAACTTATTTTTTTTACAGTAGCTATCCTAAAAGGTATAAAAGTGATATTTTATTATGGTTTTGATTTGAATTTCTTTAATGAGTTTTGATTGAGCATATTTTCACATATTTGTTGGCTGTTTGTATATCTTCTTTGGAGAAGTGGTTATTCAAGTGTCTTGGCCGTTTTCATATTGGGTTGTTGAGTTGTAGGAGATCTTCATATCTTCTGGCAATTAACACCTTATCAGATATGATTCAGAAATGAGAACACGAGTCTGCCCTTTGATGCGTATACATTTTAAATTCTGTTGTAGTGCAATTTCTGTATTTTTACTTTTGTTGTTTATGCTTTTGATGTGATAATTCATTTTTGCGAATTCATTCTTCCAGCCAGAATGCTAAATTTAATGCAAGACATTGAGTGTAATTTCTTGGCTTGTTCCTTAGCATACATTAATAAATCTGAACCCGGGTAACCTCACATGAAGGAATCTGAAACACTGCCCATGTTCAGGTTCTGATCCCTGAGAGTGACAGTAGAAAAGAGATAACATTCATGGTGGTACAATGCTCTGTGGATACTCTTCTATTTGGTATTCAGTTAGAAGGAAATGTCCTAAGCCCGTTCACTTCAAGAGAGGCACAGGCAACAGCTAGAAGAGTCTTTGGAAGCCCAGTCGGCTGCTTGCCAAGACAGTCATTGCTAGGATTGCACTAAGGAGCTCAGCTTTCTCCATGTGATGGACAAGATCCTACTCTTGTAGTCAGGGGATGACACACTGAAAAATTTTGCTTTGGTTTCAGCAAGAAATTTTCGGGTGTTTCACCCTGAGGCTTGGTTTCCCAGTCCCAAGAGTTGCCTGATTTTCAGCCTATATTATGGATTGACATTGTGGCATGGATCCGGTTTTCTTCAGGGCAAAGCAAGTGGCTTCTCTGGCTCACCTGGGAAACCTACTTGCTCAAGACGTAGACTTCCGGGCTCACCTCCTATCCTCTCCTCACATTCTGTTGCCCAGAAACCCTTGGGCCCAATGTCTGACAACTATGTTGCTTCTGCGCAGCTATTCCTGTCCTCTGAAGCTTTGAGAGCTTTCCTCATGCTGCTCCCTCTGCCCAGATCACTCTCTTTGTCTTTTCTTCTGCTGAGGCTTAGTTCATAGGCCTCTTCTCTGAGACCCATTCCAGCTTTCTGTGTGAGACTTCTACAAACAGATCTGTGCAGGTCACTGCAACAACTGCTCTTTTCTTATCTAAATTCAGTTTGTTCATCAAGAAAAGGATGATGGAATGACAGAAGTATTATCTATATGGCTTGTGAAAGTATGTGTGAATGTTGTGCATGTGTCTTTGTGGATAAAGCATGGATGTCTGTGTGGGCAGCTGGATATAAGCTTTGGTAGACAGTGGCTGTCTCTGACCAACCCCCATCCACTGCTCTCCATTACTCTCTGCAAAAATGTGATTCTCTTTTGCTTGTCACTGGCCGCCGCCTCCGCCTCTCTCCCATAACTGGCTGTAATATAAGAACTGAAGTACATTTTCCATTATGTGTTGTATTTATCCAGCTCAGCCTGATGTTCCCTGCTCTTAATTTAAACATGTTTAAATTAGAACGTTTCTTATTTTCCTCTGAAAATACTCACTGAAGGTAAATTGCCCCATTTGTTATGGCCATCAGTTTATTTTCTCTGCACTGGTGACCTTCCACAGAAAACAAAAGCCCCTGCTCCCACCCACCACACCCTCTCTCCTGTGATCTGACCCTAAGTGGCCTCTGCCTGGATGCAGATTGCCACCCCCGCCCAGCCCAGGCTGGGTCCCAGCCTCAACAGCATGGACCTGTTCCTCCATCTGGAGCTTCAAGCTGATTTGACCACTTGTTCCTGTCCTCAGGAGAAGGCCAAGGCAGAGGGTCCTGTTTTTCTGTTTTTGTCTGGAAATATGGAAGACCCCAACATACAGAGGCAGGGGAGCTGTCCACCAGAGGGCGCTTGGACCTCAGGAAAGGGTGGTGGGCTCTACTCTGACCCTCCCCTTCCCCACCCATCACCACCAAGCTGAGGACTTAACAGGGCCTGATGGGGCAGTTAGGAGGCTGACCTAAGTGCTTTACAGAGTTGTTAGACCAGATGTTTGTCCCATGTGCTCATAGCGGTCCCTTGAAATGCCTGCGGAGGTTCCTGGTTGTCAAGGCCAATGAACCAGTCTTCTAAGTGTGTGCATGCTAGTTGCCCAGACTCTGCTGGAGGTTGAGGAGGGCAGAAATGTTAGCATTTAATTACAAGGAGAACTGGACACTACAGTTCTCATTATTTGAGTTGTTATGGATAGTATTGTTTAGCATGGAGCTAAAGAAAATAGCCTAAGTTCTTTAAGATTGACTTAAGAAAAATTATTATGCAAATAACTGTACCACTGGCACATAATTTAGCACACAAATAATAGTGTATATCCAAACACCTACTTGACACCACCACATTTCAAAATTAACATCATCATAACTCATTTCTTGATTGATTTTCTCCCAAAACTGCTCATCTTCCCTGTGTTGGTAATGGCATGTTCGTCCTTCTAGTTGTTTGGGTTAAAATCACTGGAGTCATCCTAGTTTTCTCTCTTTCCTTCATCCATCATGCCCCATCAGTCGGGAACACTCTTTGCTTAATTTTCTCTTGGTTTTGTTTTAAAAAATATTTATTTATTTTTCATTTATTTGAAAGGTACACTTATAAAGAGAAGAAAGAGGAGAGAGGAGATGGAGAGAGAGGGAGAGAGAGAGAGAGAGAGATCTTCTACCCAGTGGCTCACCCCCCTGCAATCCCTTCTTCACCTAGCCATCAGCTTTTGGAACATGAAAACCATGGCCTATCATTCCCCTGTTTATAACCTTCCAAATGGCTTAATCAAATCCAATTTCATACTCATGGTGTCCAGATCCTGTCCTGGATGACTTCTGCCAGCATCTCCGACCTCACAGACTCTTTCACTCTGCTTCTCTGTACCCCAGGCCTCTAGTGTCCTTTTGTAGTGGGCTGGATCTCTACATTATATTGTAGTAATACATTCCCTGGTTGTCCTATTCCAAGTTCATATCTCCTCATAAGATAAGAATTTGAAGTGTGGACATAGGTAAGGTACAAGGATGGGAGCAGGGTTTAGTTAATGAGAGACGTCAATGTGGACAGCCCATGAAGACAAGTGCACACCATGAGAAGAATTCCTTCAGTCCAGTGGTCCTCTTTATTGGCTAGTGGGTGGTGCCCTAATTCTATATACACACAGGATAGAATTTGGGTCAGGTTCAATGCACATGATGTCTTCTGGTTTTCATTTGGTCTCTATGTGGAACATTGTACACGTGTTAATTGCATCTTCTTAATCCTGGAAGAGGCTTAGTTGCATCACGGGAAAGTAGATGTGCTAAATTGGTATGGAAGAGGGTGGAGTTGGGGTACAGGCTAGAGACAGAAACTGTTGGAAACATCTCATCTCTTTTGTTCACTAATGGATAATCTACCTAGTGTAATTTGTTTCTTGTCTGATTCCCCTATTAGACAGTTAACTCCATGATAGACATTTTGTTGAATCCCAACTCCATCCCCAGCACCTAGAACAGCTACTGGCATGTACACTGTCATTTAAATGTTGGGTGCTGGGAATTCTCTAAGGGGCTCACTTCTTCCTCTCTAACAGATTACATCTCACATCCTCAGCCTCATCTCTGCCCATTCTTATAACACTTAGTGTGCTGCAGCTATGCATGACTTCTTGGCATTCCATAAGCCACTAGGAGCTAACCCAGAGGCACTCAGCTCACACTGTTTTCCCCAAATCTCTGCCTGCAACATCCCTGTCTCAGCCTTCAAAATCACTTCCAATGTCACCTCCTCCCTGAGGTTTTCTTTGATTCCCTACAAGCAGGTCTGCAGTTCCTATTTCCAATATTCATCTTTATTTGTGGCTTTCCTCTTTGTTCCTAAAGGACAGGTCTGTATGTTCATCCTGACCTCCTGCAGTTACTTGAGGGGGGGGGGTGTATGTGGATTCGTGAGTAGGTATGGGTGCAGATTGCATCCCTAGTGGACTCCCCAAGATGAACAGGGGCTAGGGTAGGCAGGCATGTGGTGTCATCTGATTCTAGCAGGAGGAATGGCATGCCACATTGGATGTGGGTTCACTTGTAGTTCACCTTCCCTCTGGCAGGGACTAATATGCCAAACACTAGGTGATTTTGCATCTCTTTGAGACATACATTTCCCTGGAAGGACATTGTAGCCTTGATTTGGGGCCCGTTACTAAGTCAGCTATGGTTTGCCCCAGTGAGGAGGTTGACAAAGATGCATTTCTAGCTAAGCACAGGTTCCAAAGGCACTCAGCACTGTGTCTAGAACCAGGGCCTTGTTTGTGGAAGGCATGGTAGAAACATTGGCCAGGGAGCCCAGTAATGTAACTTGAGTGCTGCTTCACCCACATTTGCTGGACCTGGAAAGCTGGGACATAGCAAAGAAGGACAGTTGGGGAAGATGACATTGTCTTTATATCCTATGAAACTATTTCTGCTTG